CACTGGAAATGTATAATGCCTTCCATTCAGATGGGGAAAAGTGGGAAAGAGGAATGTCTTACACAGGGGTGGGCAAAATACGGCTCACAGGCCAGATGCGGCCCACAAGGCCATTCTATCTGGCCCACAGGGCCCCTAAAACATTTAGAAAATTAATATTTATCTGCTCCTGGCTGTCTGTCATGTTGCCCTTGATGGCTTGCCAAAACTCAGTAAGCAGCCCTCTGCCCAAAATAATTGCCCACCTCTGGTCTTACCGAAGTAATGGAGATGTTTGAGGATCCTTGCATTGCAAGGAAAAATACCACCTATGAGAGGTTTGTGTTTGGGAAGAGAATGCAGAAGAAAAGCACACAGAAGACATAGTAAACAAGTTTGTTACAGGCCTGAAACTTTAAAAAAAAAAAGCAGCACTGTAAATATGGTGCACACAAATTCTCTCATTAAAGAGCAGATTGTCCTGTGATGTAACAATAAGAAAGTTTCTGAGCAGTTACCGACAAAGAGGGATCTCATACAAGGAAGGTCAATATGAATGTGTGACGCTGCAGAACAAACAGACATATCAATTAAAGGCCTAGAAAAAGGCACATAAAATATAACCAAGTGCTATTACTAACCCAGCAAGGAAAAGGAAGTTGGCAGGAAGCAAATTGGGCAGGGATGGAGACAGGAAGCAACGCCAACAATGTGGCAACCAGTGTGAGAGTAGGAAGTGCCCGGCATTCATCCATGAATATGCAGAAACTGAATATGCAAACTCAATGCATTATCAATGATTTGGATGTGGGGGTGAAAAGCTCGCTGGCCAAGTTTGCAGATGACACCAAGTTATGGGGGAGCGTGGTCATGCCAGAAGATAGGTTGCAGATACAGGTGGACCTGGACAGGCTGGAGAGTTGGGAGGACCAAAACCAGATTAAGTGCAACACTCAGAAGTATAAGATACTCCATCTGGAGACAAAAAATCCCCAACGTACCTACAGGCTTGGTGGCGACAATTTGACTTGCACCACAGCTGAAAGGGACCTTGGGGCAGTGATCGACCATCGCATGAACGTGAGCTGGCAATACGATGTGATGGCCAGCAGGGCAAACAACATGCTGGTGTGCATTAACTGTTGCATCCCATGCAAAACTAAGGAAGTGATACTTCTACTGTACTCCACAATGGTGAGACCACAGCTGAAGTACTGCATCCAGTTCTGGGCGCTGCACTTCAACAAGCACGTGCAAAAACTTGAGAGGGTCCAGAGAAAAGCCACCTGTATGATCAAGGACTTGCAAGACAAGCCATATGAGGAGAGGCTGAGAGACTTGGGCTTCTTTAGCCTATGGAAGAGAAGACTGAAAGGGGACTTGGTAGTGGCTTATTGCTACATCAGGGGAGTACATAAAAAACTCGATGAACAGCTGTTCACCAGGACTCCCCTGGGGAAGACCAGGAGCAATGGATACAAACTCCAGGAAGGATGCTTCAGGCTCCATTCGAGGAAAAACTCCTTCACAGTCAGCGTATCCAGCCTGTGGAATAAACTCCCTCCAGTGGTGGTGCAATCACCTACCTTGGAAATCTTCAAAAGGAGACTGGACAGTCACCTTGCTGGGGTCACTTAACCCCAGCTGTCTTTTCTTGCCTAGTGCAGGGAGCCTGGACCTGATGATCTACAAGGTCCCTTCCAGCCCCTAATGATCTATGGATTGGCCCATGGGCCATATTTTGTCCACCCCTGGATTAAAGTGATTTTATTTCTTGCAACCCCGCCTGCTGTTTCTGTGACCCCATTTGGGGTCCCAACCCACAGTTTGGGAACCACTGCCGTAGAAAATAGTTGATGAGATGAATTAGAAGGCACCTGCCAGCATCCCAGGGAAGTCACCTGACCAGAAGGGCACAGGGCTCTGGGAGAGAGATAAGGTAGGTCCAGAGGCAGGGCAGGCACTGTGCCCATGGAGGCTGAGCAGGGAAGAGCTCTCCAGAGGTGCCTGTAACTGAGAATTAAATGGAGTGTGCTAGGCCTGAAGACAGGTAGGAAAGCTAATGGCTAGCAGCTCATTTTGACGCAGGCTGAGGTAGTAGTTTTGTTATAGACAGAGGGGCTTGTGTTTGATGTTGTGGTTGTGGCAGAAGGCCACCTCCGTTTCTCCCCAAAAACTCTGCTCCGTGACAATTTGGTTAAGATGGGCCCAGCACACACCTTACCCTATCTCTTTAGGTAACCTGAGTTGGATACATTCCTGAGGGAGGGGGGAAACCTGCTCCCTCTGCCTACGTGACTGGCATCACATACCTGAGTGAGGGGCTTGGGCACCCTGGTGGGCTAGAGACTGCAAGTCTGCCCAGCAATCAGTGATACATTTCAGATTGGTTGGCTGACAGCCAACAGGTGCTGGTCTCCATCGGACCAGGTAAATGAGGTCATAAGGGCTCTATAAGTTAAGGACTGCCCAGGAGGAGGGGCAGCAGCCATGAGGAAACTCAGAGAGAGAGGAGCTGGACCATTTGCAACTTGCTGTCTCTCTCAAAATTCATGATCAAGGAACTGCCTGCCTCCAGAGGGAATCTCCACCTGCCTCTGGATGATACTTGTGAGTAAACTCCCTGAGATCTAACTAGATATATAGCTTGTAGTAACTCAGATGCGGGATCAAAGGCTACTCCAGCCACCCTGTTTGCTCTATGGGATTTCTCTGATACTACTCAACTCTGTACTCTATTTCAACCCTACTCCTTGTAACCAATAAAGTTCTCCTTTGTACCTAGTGTGGGAGACTTATTGGGAGTGGGTCTAGATTATGCCTTGGGGTCCCCTTGGTTCGGCTGACTAAAGGTGACCACTACTTGTGCTTCCGACTGAGGGAAGCACCCCAAGTTCTTCAAGTGAATCAAGTACTCTTGAGGGCTACCAGGCCTGTGTTTCCCAGGGGGCACAGAGCCAGAATCAAGCTCATTCCTGAGTGGTGGCAGCTCTACCCCCAAGCTAGCAGGTGTGCTCCAGGAAGGGGGTTGGCCAGATGTGAGGTGCCCCCAGGGAGGCACTCGGAGCCTGGAAGGTGGTCAGGTGCAGTGAGGTGGGTGGCCCAGTGCAGAAGCACCCCCTACTGGCCTGCCACAGTGGTTTCAGTCTGGTCTGGTGCCTGGGAGGGACCACGAGGGTCCGGCGCCCAGGGGTGGACCAGATACTGAGTGATGATCCAAGTGGTTTGGGGCATCAGCCATTGTGAGGGGTGGTTTGGTGGGTCCCAAAATTCCTGTGGGGGGGTGCAGCAACCCCATAGCACCTGCAGGGGGGTCACAGAATTCTTATACTGCCCCAGAGGGGTAATCCTTCAGTGCCTGTGAGGGGTGCACTAAGTACACCCAGAGGGGTGATTGCACAGATCCTGAGAGGGGCAATCCTTCAGTGCCTTGAGGGGTGCACCCTGGACACCCAGAGGAGTGATTCCAGAGAGCCTAGGGAGGCTCAGCAGCCCAAGAAAGGGAAGAGATAGGGCCTTGGAAGCCAGACAAGAAGCTGGGAACCCTAAAAATCAGTCTGGTCAGTGGACTAGAGCTAGACGGTTCAGCAATAGCCATTTGATGCCATGTGCCTGCCACCACTGGGCTGTGCCATGTCCCCTGCCTGCCCGGTGGTGGCAGGCACATGTCATCATGTGCGGCTCCTGAGGTACCAGCAGCAGCAGGGCACAGAGCTCAGTGCACAGCAGGCATCCGGCCTCCACTCTTCTTGCAAATCTGGGGAGAGGCATATGCCCCCCATGCCTCCTCTGGGAGCCCCCACCATGCCCCTAGATGAGCTCTGTGGGCTCCATCCATCTCATGATCTGCCCTGGCCTCCGGGCCCCATTCACCCCAGCGCCTGCCCTGCTCCCTCCCTCACTGTGGGGGCCTTGATCTGCAACCCCATGTCCCTTCCCTCTCCCCCCATCCCTTCCCCTCTACAGACTTACCTGTGGGGCGGTGGGTAGGTGTGTGTGTGTGTATGTCCTCAGCCCCTACAAATAATATTTCCTCCCTCTGCCTATGGGCAATAGGGCCAAATGAACATCAGGAGTGGTGGAGGAGAGTACTGGAAATTGCAAGATGTAACAGCCTTAAAATGAATATGAACAAATTTCACTTTCAAACAATAGAAATAGCACATCTGGAGAGACTTGCCTGGTGAACTGAAGATGCTGGCAAACCTGAACATATCAAGACCTGAAGATTAAAGGGGAATTCAAAGATTGGTAATCCTGTTGAATTATGACAGCAAGTTCCTACCTAACTGTACAGCTTACACAACACACCTCTGGCATCTTCACAGGAGTGTGGGTGGGTTTGGATGCTAGAATATGCAAGTCAATCCTAGGACTTGAACAGTGCTGCTGGTCTTTGATCCACTGAAAGATATTGAATCCTGGTTAAATGGTTAGGGGCTGGGGCACATGACTTATGAGGAAAGGCTGAAGGAACTGGGTTTATTCAATCTGCAGAAGAGAAGACTGAGGGGCAAATTTGATAGCAGTCTTTATCTGAAGGGGGGTTACAAAAAGGATGGAGCTAGACTGTTCTCAGTGGTGACAGATGACAGAACAAGGAGGAATGGTCTCAAGTTGCAGCAAAGGAAATTTAGGTTGGGTATTAGGAAAAACTGTTTCACTAGGAGGGTGGTGAAGCACTAGAACAGGTTACCTAGAGAGGTGGTGAATCTCTATCCTTGGAGGTTTTTAAGGCCTGGTTTGGCAAATCCCTGGCTAGAATGATCTAGTTGGGGATGGTCCTGCTTTGAGCAGGGGGTTGGACTAGATGACCTCCTGAGGTCCCTTTCAACCCTAATTTTCTATGATTTATGATTCCATTAAATTCTCCATGGATCCCTCAAAAGGTTGGGAGCATCTTGGAACTGATTCTCAACCTCATAACATAGAATAAGATGGGTCAATTCCATCTTAACCTCAAGGCTCGAGCACATGGACAATAGTTTTAACCATATTATCCATCATCCCCAAATTCTTACCTCTGCTTGGGGGTGCAGAAAGTGTGATTGTCAGAGGGATTATACACAGAAAGGGTGTAGAGGTTTTAAAACCTTGCTTTACAGATCCGTGGTGATCCTCAAACTGCATCAAACCAGGAGGATGTCTGACATTCTGCTGTCACAGTGCATGCTGTGTGTTGGTTGCTGTCTTGCATTTTTCCCCACCTCAGACAGCAGAGAGAGAGTCTTGTTTTCTACACTTGGGCAGTATTGCCAAGTCTGTTGATATCTGATGCTTTTCTCCAGGATTTCTCAAAGAAATCAATGGGAGGTTTGGTACCAAAATACTTTTATGGAACTGGTTTAATCTTGCTCTCTGTACATCAGTTCCTTTTCTATAGATGAGGATCCCATGACTTCCAGATCTCCCAGGCTGTTGTGAGAATACATCAGTGATTGTGAAATGCCCAAATCCAACAACCAAAGGCCATTCAAAACAGCAGGAAGGCAATTCTTTGAAAAGAGTCACATACCACATTTTTGAGACACAAATAAGAGCCACAGTACTATAGAAATATGATTTTTCTCAAGTGACATAAGTTAAATATTTTACAACTAGCTGAAACCCACAAAACATTTGCAATTATATTTTTATTGCAAAAGTATTTCTTTAAATACAGGATTTTTAGTTATCCTTTGACCAAATACTTTAACAGAATCAAAACTTTTCACCCTCAAAAAGGCTACATAAAACTGTCCACGTGTAAATACAAGCTTAGGAATATAAATACATATTTTGTCAAAAGTCTGACCTTGTGACTTGTTTATAGTCATAGAATAAGAAGGCCCTTGTACACGTGACTAAGGACCCTTGTATATGTGAGGAAATTGCTCCTTTTCATGGTTTAATTGCCCTTTTTAACAACTTAATTACATAACAGTGTACACGTTCAGCAGTACGTTATGATTAAATTTCATAGTGACTTATTTAAATGTAAATTACTTTTTTACATAGCAAACTAAAACACTTTCCATTTATTTTAGTTTGCTATGGAACAAATTACAGCAGTATTTCTCAGGTGTACAAGGGCCCTATCTGGAGAAGGTGGTGGGGATGGTGCATGGGGCGCTGGAAGCCTGGCATGCTTGGGGAAGCTTGGGCTTGGTGGACTTCCAGCGCCCTATGCACCATCCCCACCACCTTCTCCAGGTGCCAGCACACCCAGCCACCCTTCTGCCACCTTTCTGGGGCAGCCAGCCCATTCCTGGGTGGTCCCAGGAGGCAGGAAGGCAGTGGGAACAGTGCATGGGGTGCTGGAAGCCTGCCAAGCCTGAGCTTCCCTGAGTACATCCAGGCTTCCAGATCCCCCTGCGCTGTTGCATCTGGCAGGTGCTGCCTGCGAGCTGGGGCTGCACCCATGCAGCTAGCACTCTGCCCAGGTGGCCCTAGCGGACAGCGCTGTCATGGAGGGAAGCACCGGGCTCCCCTACAGCTCCTGGGTTGTGTGACCTGGCGGTAGCTTGTGTGGGCAGGCTCTGCCGAGGGGAAAAAAAAAGGTGGCGAGAGGCCTGATTTTTCTTTTTCCTCCCAGAGCCTGCCTGCATCTCCTGTGGCTGGGGAGTGAGCTGCCAGTGGGTTGCACAGCCCCTGAGCTGCAGGGGACCCTGGTGCTTCCCTCTGTGGTGGCGGTATCCCCTGGACAGCACCCACCCATTGGCACCTTGCCTGGGTGGTCTTGGGGGCTGCCAGCACTGTGGAGGGAAGCACCTGGCCCCCTACAGCTCATGGCCTGCTGGCAGCTCGCTCCTTGGCCACAGGAGAGGCAGGCGGGCTCCAGGGGCAAAACAATAAGGATCAGGCCCCTCAGCATTTTGGTTTTTTTTCCCTTTGGCAATACCAGCCAAGCCTGTGGTGGAGGGGCCTGGTCATTCCTTCTAGCTCTGACTTGCCTGCATATCTGTTTGAAATGCCGCTGGATCTATAATAAAAACAAGCTTATTGTGTCTGTCCAGAGCACTCTGATTGGTTGTTTCCGTAAGCATTGTGATTGGCTGCCATCAAACAACATCAGAGTGCTCTGGACAGACAGAATAAGCCTTTTATTATTATTATAGATATTCAAAAAGTGGATGTGTTACAGAGTGCTAAGCCCTGGATACAAGCTATCAGAGTCACTCTGCAAACCACCAGCACACCAACCCCTCCCTGCCCAGTGTGCACTGGAGTGATAAGTGAAAAAGGTAGATGCAGACAGATTGACCAGCTTGTTGCCTGTGCCCTTGGCTAAGAGACCAGGCTGGCAAGACTGTACGATGCCAAACCCATGAAAGAAGTGTCCAGACAGCTGTGGCAACCCCCATTGGCTGGGTTAGGTAGTACAGCTCCTTTAGATTTGTTTTGCAGCAGTGCAAAAGAGTTCTTTGCTGCAGGAGTAACAATGCCATCCTGAGAGGGCATTGGATACATGGGGGCCAGCTGCTCTCCTACCCCCACTAGCTACCAAGTTCACCCTGAGTGGAACTGGGAGAGAGCTCTGATAGTGCTGACTGTGACAAACTGTCAATAGTTGGTTGGCGTGTGCTCTTAATGGTAGTTGGTTGTCCATTTTCCCCCTTCAGTAACCCCTGTTGTAGTTCAGCATTGCTTGTGAGTGGGGAAGTGTGATCACTTATTTTTCCAGATTTCTAGGTGTGGGCTCAAGCTAAGATAAGAATTTGTGTAAAAACGCTAATTCTGAACCTGTCCCTTGTTACTGCTGTCTAGTGCCCACTAGAAGGGTTACAGTCTGACAGCACCAGGCACCTCTTCAAAACGCATGGGCTGTGCCATCAATAGGGCATAAAGACTAATGGCACCTTATGCCATTATATGCTTTCATCAGGGCAGGTGTCAGCCCACTAGAATAAGCAGGGAGGTGCCTGTTATCACTCTTCAATATACACCAGTGGTTGATCAATCATAGAAAAGTAAGGTTGGAAGGGACCTCCAGTGGTCATCTAGTCCAACCCCCTGCTTGAGGCAGGATCATTCCCATCTATACCAGCCCATAAAAGTCCTTATCTAACTTATTCTTAAAACTACACAATCAATACTGCTGCACAACTCCAAGGCATATTGCTCAGAGACACCACAAATACCCTAGCATACTACCTGATCTATATTGGTATCCCATCGTTCTGCTCTATCAGATATGGGCTAGAGCCATCAGGCCCCAGGAACATGTCTCTAACAGCAGAGGACACCAAGTGCTGCAGAAGGTATGTCAATCAGACTGCATGGCCTAAGGGTCACAACACTGGGTAGGACTTAGGAGAGCTGGGTTCTATTCCTGATGCTGATGTGTGACTGGGCAAAATGCTTCCCCCCTCTCTGTGCTTCTTTATTGTCTTTCAGTCTTTGTCTATGTAGTTTGCAAACAGAGATGACCTTTCACCATGTGTCTGCATGGCACCTGGGACAACGGGGCTACCCTGGCATCCACTGACAGGAATGCACCACAGACCTATGTCAGTGGGTGGCGGGAAGGGGGGAGCCATTCCTTCCTGACCTCCGAGCTAGTCATGAAGCCAGGCCCCGAAGTACTAGATCTGGAGCCCTCAGGCTGTCTGACACAGGGGGAAGGGTGTTGTGATGAGTTAGAGCCCTATAGCATTGCCAGTGCAGTGACTGCTAAAAGTATCATTATGCTTAAAAATGGGGCCCATATAAAACTTCAGCACCACCAAGCTCTGCCCCAAGCACCCACAGCCCTGCCTACACTGAACTTCTAGATGCTCAGCTTCTTTTTGAGATGCTGAAGCTCAGTCAGGCTGATGTTGTTGCCACCGCACACAATGATCACAAGGGAGCTCAGCATGGCATCCAGCTTCCCTTCGGCCTGTAGCCTCTGCACCACACTGCTGTAGACAGCACTCAGTGCTGCCCCACAGGCTGGCTCCACCAGGATCTTCTCATCATCTGCAGCATGGGGAGAAGAGACCAGGAAAGGTTATCTACCACCCTGAGGGGCAGCTTGGGTGCTCCCCTCCCTCCCCATTCCTATATCTGCGCAGAGCAAGGGGTTGGAGGCAGGAGTCTAGACAGATGTTCACAGAAGCAGGGCACAATCTTCTGACATGCTTGTCCTCCTGCAGGAGTGTCCATGTGATGGGGGTGGTGCCTTCCACAAGGGGTGGTTGCCCATCAAATGCAGGTAGGGGAAGTTCCTTCTCCTGCTGCTCTTCCCCATATCTATGCCAGGTTGGGAGGGACACAGATCCAGCTGCTGACTCAACCCCTGGGTAGGACCCATGATGAACCCCCCTATCATGGAAGGGGAGAAGTTGCTGGTTCTTGGATTTCTTGCACTTGTCATCTTCAAAGAGTAGGTTTAGGCTTAAACTCTGGTCTGGATCAAAGTAAGACCACACCCCCCGAGGCAGCTTTCTGAGAAAGGGCATATGGACAGAATGGGCCCAACTAGCATTAGTGTGACTGTGAAGAGTTCATGGGAACTCTTCCTGGGCATGAGACCTGGAGAAAATGACTTGTCTGATCATCGTCAAAGGTGCCACAGATCTTGCTGGTCTTTAGTAGCATCAAAACCATGTAGGCAGCTGCTGGATAATGACTAGCAGGGGACACTCTTGTTCCTTTCACCCTCGAGTCTTGAGTGTCAGGCAGGTTCGCACTGGCACTGGCACTGTTTCTCAACCTTTTTAGATTCAACTCAAAGCATCCTTTGGAAAATGCCAGCTCTTAGTTTTAACTTGTTTTTTGACTACCAAAAAATATTAGAGCAATTCTTCTGTTGCAAAGAACTCAGAGGGCACATTTGAGGTGCTGCAAACTTCATGCAGCACATGTGCACCCATGCGCTGTACTGCTAATTTGCAGTTTAGCAGTGTTTTTTTGACACCACGAGATCCTAGTACCAAAAAAAACCCCCTCTGGTAAAAAAAGTGGTGCGGCACATGTGGTAGCAGCACGAGCCTCCAAAAACCAGAGTCTGGCCAGCCAAAACCACTCTCTGGCTGCTGGCCAGGATCCAAGCAGCTGGCTCGGTGCTGCTGCTGCCCCAGGAGATGCCCAGAACCTCAGGTAATGGTGCTGGGGCCAGCACAGGTGCTGCCCCAACTTCCTCTCCCCTATCTGGGTTCCTTTGCCACACACCAGAGTGCACATGCAGGGCGTGCCCAGGGACAAATAGTAGTGGCACAAATATGGGCTGCTGCTGTTTGTCTCAAGAGGAACGCATGCCCCTGCATGTGCGTGCTTGTGGGGGGACACCCAGAAACTTCACAGCAAGTCAGAACATTTTGAACACTATGGATTCCTGTTTGCAGTAATCTCTGGGTTTATTCTGTGAATCATGTCTGCACACCTAACAGTACTATCACTATGTGGCACCCCACAGCACACTTGAAATGATCTGAAAGAACCACTACTGGCTTGGCCTGGCACTGAGACACCAGTAGCATTGTAGGTAAGAAGGGGAGGGAGGAGGAGCCCTTTACCCCAGATCATCCACTGGAGGGAGATTTAATGGGGATGGCTAGATATTGGAGCAGTCAGCCACTGTGTGTGCAGTGAGGCTGGCTGCAGGATGGGACAGATGGTGGCTAATGCTAGTACACATCAAGGCAGATAAGTGGGGGGCACACCCTCCGATGACTGGCCTCACTGCTAGCCACTGTGTACACTGCTGATGAGCAGCAAAGACCTCCCATTGTGTGTGTGAGTGCGTGCATATGTGTATGCCCACACATACAGGCCTGTTACATACCCACAAACTTTTCAATAGCTACAATGGCCTCTTGGTCTGTGATGACTTCTGAGAAGACAGGGTGCTCCTGGGCCAGCCTCAGTGCCTCAGCTGCCACTGTCTTTACCCCGAGGGTCATAGCAACACTGCAGCCAGGAGGGGAGAGGAGGAAGAAAGATTTCTTAGTGATAGTAGAGTCCCCAAGAAGTGCCCCTGTTACATCTGTTACCAGCTCCCTTTAACGACCACGGGGCAAGTGTGCGGGAAGCTGGTTTAGAGCCAGCCGGGGAGTAAGTCCCTGCTGCCTCCAGCAACCTTCTAGGCAGAGCTGGGGACTTGGCTGATGCTGCACCCTCAGGGCAGCGCTAAGTCCAGTCTCCAGTGCTATGGCCACATGGTGAGGGGGCAGCAGTGAACAATCCCATATCAGAACAACTTCCTTTTGTCTCTCTGTCTCTCTCCTCAGGTTCCCCCTTCTCCCTTTTGCTCCATGCCAAGGGCAGCAGACAGCTGGCATGAGATACCCACCACCAGCATAAGCTGTTTCCTGCTTCCTCCTAGATCACAAAGTAGTTGTCCTTAGCGAGGGGAGAGCAGCACAGAGAACTGTCTCCCATCTCTTCTTGGCCCCATAGGATCACTATGCCATTTGAGAGCATGTATGCCTGGGTAGAGATGCCCTGGCATGGGAGTGCAGTGGGATGGGGAATGATCAAAGACAAAGCGCATATAGCATCCAAGGCACCTGGGCTGCAGAATAGAGAATGTGGAGGAGAAACTCCGTCAGACCAGGAGCATCTCCCCATCGTGGCTTGGATGATTTTTCTGTCCTGTTGCCATGGCCCCTCTTCTTAAATACTGGGTCACAAGCTGCTGGCCCAGAGCAATGCTCCCCTTTCCCCACCGACATTCCTCCCCTCTGCGCCCACTCACCTGGTGATTTCTGGCAATGTCACCAGCTTCCCAGCAGCCATGGCTGTGTTCAAGCTGTGTGCCCCTTTAGTCTCCATGGCAATAATGGGCACATCCTTCCAGCCCACCTCCCGGAGGCCCTGGATCACTCCGCACAGCATACCCCCTCCTCCCACAGATAGGGCCACTGCCCCGGGCTTGGAGTCCATGCTTTTCTTCATCTCCCTCACCATGGATGTGTGTCCCTCCCTGCAAGGAGACAGTAGGAGCAGTCAGTGCTGTGGGGAAAGAAAGGTCAGGAGTAGAGATGAACTGAGATGAACAGCGCAGACTGAACTGTGCACGGGGCCTCAGACAATGTGGGTCCTGAGTCTGCAGTTGTCCCAGCATCTTCTCACTGACTTAGGTGAAACTTCATCCGCTTATCAGCAGAGCTGGAGAAGCAGGCTCTGGCCCAGTCTGGCATATTAGCCTCAGACAGTCCATCAGGCTGCACTGGAGAGTCACGCTGTTCTTGGTGGCCTGTCACTAGCTGAAAGCTGAGAGCAGGCCCCTAGCTGACGTCAGTCAGATGATGGGCTAAACCAGAGCTGTCCAACTGGTGTTTCCTAGGCTGCATGTGGCCCACAAGGGGTTAATTTTGCCCCCTCAGGCTCCCACCCAGCTGCTGCTCCCCCCATTACTCTGGTAGCAGCAGCACTGGGGAACTCTGGGCTCCCCTTCCCTCCTCTGACTTCCACTTTCTGCCCCAGGCACAGGGGCCAGGCCAGGGTAGGGCAGTCCATGAGGCTGGGGGATCCAGCAGCCTGGAGTGCCCACATGATGCTGTGCAGCAAAGGAGCCTGCAGCCAGGGTGCTGAGGGTGAGGCTGGGGTGCCTATGTGGGCAGTGCAGTAGGTTGGGGGTGGGGAAAGGGCACATGTGCAACAAGTGGCCCAGGGTGGCTGTGGCCCATGATGATGTGGCCCATGCTGCTGCGGTCTGTGGGGTACATGGCCCCCAGCTGCTTAGAAGTTGGACAGCCCTGGGCTAAGCAAACCCTGACATGGATCTCAATTCCCACTCTTAGCTCAAGTGATATGTTCTGTAGCTCAGCTTGGGGCCAATACGCAGGTACCCCAGCCAGGCTAGCAGCACTGTCTGCTGTGGACTCATTGATTTGAAGATGCACTATGAGGAACCTGCATCCACAGTAGTGGGTGGTGAATAGATGCATGTAATCCTCGTTGTGGGCTTCAGCCTAGCACACTGATGGTGACCATGCTAATGCAGCTTCAACAAAGGGCACATTTTTGCCTCGGCATCATCTCGTTAGAGACTCCACCCCATTGTGTGCACATAGTGGCCCCTTTGGGGCAACAGGCTGATAGATTTAGCTCTACTGCCCCTAGCTAGCCAGGGCACCAGGCAGGTTATTAACCAACAGGGACTTAAAGGTGTGGCACTTCCATCTCCCACCAGCCACCCCTCTTGTCCCGCAGGCCACTTACCAGATGAGGGGGTCATCAAAAGGGGGAACATAGACCCATTTAGGGTTGTTCTTCACCAGCTCCTTGGCTTCTTCAGTGGTTTCATCCACTTCCTGCAGAGCAGACAGATATTTTATTAGACACCAGTCCATGCAGAAACATCAGCACAGTTTGCCTTTTACCGTTTAGGAGGATGGGGACTGGATAAGTAACAGGTCTTTCCTCATGGATTCCTGAAGGCTGTGGGTGGTAGTTACACAACTTGATGTGAACAGCTGGCATGGATGTGGGCATAACTCCCCCCCCCCCCCCTTATTTCCTTCCCTTTACACCAGAGACTTCCACAG